ATGTCTTTGAACCCACGACAGTTTCGTATAACAAAACCATACATTTTTTGCGTCAGAAACCTTCATAATAATGTGCTCAACAAAACTCAGTCTTGAGTCGAAAGTGACACCCAGATCAGTGATTGAGGAACAACGTGACAATATCAAACCATCAATATTATAATAAAAATCTACAGTTGATCTTTTTCTATATATGTATTTAACATTAACCTATTTTACGTGCACCAATCTGACAATATATCTAGGTCCTGCTGGAGCGCTAAACAGTCATACATATCTTAAAGTCATCTGCATAAATGAGTTTACAAGTATTTAAACGGTGATCGACATCATTAATAAATAACAAAAATAGCAATGGTCCAAGGTTAGAACCTTGAGGGATGCCTGATTTTGCAAAGTACACCTGTGACGAATGACCATTATGAAAGACAAACTGCTGCCTTTCCAGAAAGTATGACATACAGAACCTTATCAAGGTGTGAGAAAACCCAAATTGATTCAATTTATCAATCAATATCCCATGATCCATTCTGTCAAAAGCCTTTGAGAAATCAGTGTAAATAACGTCCACAAACATGTGAAATTTTCACAAGGATAAATATAGATATCTATCTAATGTTAATGTTAGTATAGTAATTCTAGTATTTTATTGTTATAATTAATTTCTTTTTTGAGTTAAATGTTATCCAACAGTTCAATTGGTAAATGATGTTCACAATATGTCTCTTGGAAAAGTGACATGTGTGAAAATCAATTTGGGGGATTCGATATGGAAATTTCTTAAGGATGACGTCATAAGTTGGAGAAAGCAATATCAGAGTGGGGTATAGAAAATTGTAGAATGTAATAATAGTTGGGAGGGTGGTTTTTGTTTTTGAAATATATATTATTGGTTAGCGGGAAAATAAAATGGTACAGATGGAATATTAGAATTATGAACTAATTTTAGTTTGAATGAAGACTGAAAAATCTTTTTAATTCTTCATTCAATAGACATTGTAAACTTATTGATTTAATAATAAAAAAAAATGGTATGCTCCCTCCAAATTAAAAGCACTCTGCAAATTTAGTAAAAATAATTTTATATAAAATACAAAACAGATTATTTTTATTTCTAAATATTGAAAAAGGCTTTAGTAGATTATATTGTAAATATTTTATAATTGTTTTTAGGGTAAATTTACCTCCTTCTGAGTCCAGTAAAAGTCACAGTCTTGAAGAGATTTATAATTATTATAATACTTTGCAAATATTAGCAAAACTATTAATGAATATCCTAATCTTTCTAAGGAAAACGAGGGTGACAAAATTATTGGAATTAAATGGATTCTAGGGGGGAAAAGGATGATCAGATGAATATAGTTTAGAACAGCAGAAAGTGAAAAAGAATGATCGAATAAGGATCGTAATGGAAACGATCATGAGATTAATGAAGGAGAGTATAAACGCAAGTAGAAATATGATAAAAGTAATGTGTGAAAATATTATTTAGGAAATAGCAAAATAGGGAACGATACTGGTAACAAGATAAAGAGCGTAGGTAGCGTAGGAGCGTAGGTTGGATAAAACTAGAGTAAAGTTGATGCAGGAAATATATGAATTAAAAAGGTACACAGGTAAGAGGTTAAAACAAACCAAAATACGTGAGGATAGAAATGATCTATAAAAATTAAGAACGTGTTAGAGAAAGTGGTTAATGTTGATTAACTAAAGTAAAAGATGTAATAAATGAAGTGTTTTCTTCACACAAATGTCACCACGCCTTTCAACTCTTTAGAAATGGAATTTCAAAAAATGCTTCTTTAGGGTACCCAAGAAATATTTCTTCTATTTTTTAGATCTCTAGGTCCACCAGTTTGAGCTATGCGTTTTCACAGTATATACCGTGACTGTCTGAACGGTATATACTATTTTATACTTGTAGACTAGTTTGTACAGAAATAGTACAGAAGGCTAACATAAATGAAACATTTAGTCAGAAATTAAATCTTGAAAGAGTAAAACCAAATTTGGTAGATTTTCACACTTTTATTTTAAAAATATAAAAATTTAAAAAATAAAAAAACACTAACATGACATGTTTCGAAGTATAACTTCTTTTTCAAATGTGACTATTTTAAATTCGTTATCCAATATATATACGAAATATTTAACAAAACAAAGTACTTAAGAAAAACATCAATAACATTACAAAATAACTATTTAAAGTAAATAAGGGTATTTAGGTAATTATAATATCAATCAGATAACAATAAGATAGCACATTACCGGGATTATCTCACAGAAAACTAGGAAAGAGATTTAATAAGGGTGATTTATTAATATCTAATTAATCATTTAGTAAGTTATCTGAATTTTTAAATCTATTCATTTCAAGTGTTTCTAAATGGTTTAATTTAAGGCTCTTATTTTCTATATGTAAAATTTCAAAGTTGTCTGTAAAAGAATGATTTTCAGCTAAAATTTGATTTGAGTAAGTAGAATTATTTTTGTTTTTTGTATTGCTATTATAATGTTCAGAATAGCGTTTTTTGAAAGTACGGCCTGTTTGACCAATATACAATTTTGGACAACTACCACAATTTAATTTATATACTTTATTTACTTTAAATAGTTATTTTGTAATGTTATTGATGTTTTTCTTAAGTACTTTGTTTTGTTAAATATTTCGTATATATATTGGACACCGAATTTAAAATAGTCACATTTGAAAAAGAAGTTGTACTTCGAAACATATGTCATGTTAGTGTTTTTTAAAACATTTTATATTTTTAAAATAAAAGTGTGAAAATCTACCAAATTTGGTTTTACTCTTTCAAGATCAAATGGATTTTCATCAAGTAAAGGCTGAAACAAATAATCAGAAATTAAAACCTACCATTAAGTTACAATTTTATGTCTTTGAATTAATTTTATCAAAAACGATCAATGGGTTTAGACCGTACAGGCTATTTCTTGTAAGCAGTAACCAACTTTTATTGGAGCCCGAAAGACCCTGTTAAGAAGGCTTAAAATAAAATATGTACCAAGTAGAAGCAACAATTTTGAAACTTGAGAGATGCAGATTCTGTTTATCTTGAAAATAGTAACATTAGATGTTTGCTGTCTAATTGTAAGTAGTGACAAAATGTAAAAAATATCGCTCCTAAATTTATTAAGTGGAGCGAAGCGCAACTGCCTCCTATTTTGCACATCATTGATTAAATTTAGTTGTTGGAAATATCACTAAATCGAAACCATCTAAGATATTAGATCACATGCAATATCTCGTTAATAGCATTAATGTTTGCCAAAATATTTACACTACGTCAAATTTTATGTCATATCTATCTTAGTAAAGATTTTCATGTTTACTTTTGTGTTCTTTTTCATACAGAATTATCCCTGGGGTATACCACTAAAGTGAAAACGTACCCGTATTTCGAAAATCCACCTAAAATTGATTTTCTGACCGAATACTCCTCGGCCAGTTATAACTACTCATATTTTTCAAATACCTTAAGCACTTCCTTAAGTTACCAAGCAAAGTGCTTTTAGTATGTGAAAAAAAATATTTCGAATTATCGTTCCTTGGTATATTACTACTGAAAATCTCCCTTCATTTTATAAGATTACTTTTTTTACTCTTCCTTTCTCTTCTGATCCATAAGCTGCGGCATTTTTATTTTCGAGCGACGAATTCAATTGGAAGTGATTTCGACGATGATTAACAGTGATTTTCGATGTTGATTTCAGAAATGTGTAGTGCTTTACTCTTCGGAATTACCTCTAAAAATGTACGACTGTTAACCAGAAACATCGTGTATGTTCACTTATTTGTTCGATCAAATATAAAACCAAAGCCGGTCCTGTCCAAACCAGCACCGTTATGCTCATGCGCACCGACTCACTATAAGGCTTTATATACTATTTCTATGAGATGTGGTAAAAGAAAACAAAAAATACTTTTCCAAGTACGCCTCTGTTTTGCTCATTTCGAATTTCGACATATTATTGGCATTGATTCGTTTGAAAAATAAATTATTTGCTTTTCGGTACGCGTAAACGACAAAATTCAAATCGCTCAATTAAATAATTCCAATTAATTTCAAAACTAATTCGGCATGATGGTTAATTTTCTAAATAAAATTTCGTTTTATGACGGTGGCGCTGCGTTGCGGTAGGTCCTGCGTAATTGAATTAAAAAACGAAATTAAAAATATCGCGCGTTAAAAGTTACAATATTAACGGTATTGACAGTGGTCGGTGTTAATTTTGGATCGGCCCGATAATAAATTGCGACATAATTTTAAATTTTATATATATTTTGGAAATTTTGATAAAACTAATATTGGATGTGCATGTTTATGAATAAATCGAATGGGATATTCGCTTTACTTTTATCTTGTTATAAATAAGTTATTAAATTGTGTCAGTTACAATACATTATTTTTATTATAATAGGAGATTAAAAATTTGAATTTTCCATTTTTTTGATTTTCATTTCAAACTGTTCATATGAGAGAACAAGCAGAGAATTTAGTCCTTCCAAAAGGATCGATTCGTCTATAAAAAACTCTTAAATCTTTAATTCTACTGTTCACCACTGCCTATTTCTACCGTCTTTGCCCGTCTCTGCCGTTTATACCTGTCTGCTTGTCTCTACCTGTATGTTTATCCTACCTATATGCATTCCTCTATTGTCTCTGCTTCTCTCTGCTACCTTCACTGACTCCTATCATTCTTTTCTTCTTTATAATATTTTTAAATAAAATAAAACGTTCTTTACTTCTTATTCTTTCTATAACTTTATTTCTTCTAATATCTTTCCATTTTTATAAAACATAACATTCACATCCTCTAATATCTTTCTTAAAATTAAATTATCTATGACAATTAATAGCTTCAATATTTTATGTTTGCTATTTCGGATCTGTTTATTAAAAACTAATGTATTAAAAAATTTTATTAAAGTTTTTATTATATGGATAAATCGTGTAATGTAAAAATTTTTGTTGCAGGCCATCATTTACGAAGGACAGGATAAAAACCCAGAAATGTGCAGAGTACTGCTGACGCATGAGATTATGTGCAGGTGAGTTGCTAATGTCAATTTTCTGTAAAAGGTAGTCTAAAAGTCAATACTTTTAAATTGAGTCTTAATATTAATATATATTAATGATTATTTCCCTAAAATAAAGAAAAACAAGAACGTTCCTTAGTGACGTATCACAAAATATTACTAGCGATAGTTTCTTAACGGAAAACAACTACTCCTTTGGCTAATACCACAACAGAAGAGATAAAAAATTATTTTTAACTCTAGGTGTTATTTGCTGATGTGTCCTAATAAGGACGAAACTGGTCAAAGAATGACTTATCTCTAACTTATTTTATTTTATCCTTGAAATTTAGTATAAAAATATAGAATTTTCATAAAAAATAGAAAATTAAAACAAAAATTTAGAAACATCCTTAATAGAAAAATTTTGTTAAAAAGGCGACTTTTGTTTTGAATCGGCTTAAGACATCATCAAATTAGAAATTTTTTAAATTTATCAAAATACTTTAATACAAGGAGTGATATACAAGGAGTGTACAAAAAGTTTTGAACAACAAAAATTCATAAAAATTAAATTTCAACCAACACTTGGTTGGATTTTTTATTGCATTTAAATATTTTAAAGATATTTTTGGATATATAGGATGTTGCCTTCTTGCCTGACAAATAAAATTGTATATTTTTTAAATTGGACAAGCTGTATTTTATTTAAGTTTTAGAATGGTTTGGTAATACTGTGTTCAATCGTAGAATGTTTTTTAAATATTGAGGGGTTGCTAGGCAATTAATTTGTTATGAGATTAGGTAATGATGCAGACCCCAAATTAAATTATCATAATTTAAGTAGGTTAAAACTGGATTATTTTATGTGAATTTTCTCAATTATTTAAATGAAATGCCATGAATCTCCTTATACCACCAATTAATTAATACCGGGTATTCCATTTAAAAATTAAGAAAATCGTAACTTCGCGTTTTCACACAACCTAAAATTGTTTGACGATGTGAAAACAATCAAATATGTATAACTACCTGCAGGGTGTTTTGACTCAAAAAAGTATAGCTTTAGTCAGCACCTCGTTTATAGTTCGCCCTGTATATTTAAGAATAATTTTTAAATAAGGTCATACAACTTTTATATTGAAAATTTCTTCGTATTTTCATGTTGGTATCATTGGATAGGCAAATTTATAAGAAATTTTATATTAAAAAATACACAGGATATGGCATTTAAAAAAATTGAGTAATTTAAACTTAAAACTAGCCATATTTAAGACTTGTTTCAAAACACTCTGTATAAAATAAACCATTTCTCTCACCACTATTCGCTAGCTTAGTATCTAATTAAAAATTAATTGCTTGGCAACTCTGTAATGTTTTTTTTTTTAATCTAAGATTGAATATAGTATTACCAAAATAAAATACAGGGTGTACTATTAAAAAAATATACATTTTTATTTGAGAGGCAGAAATGCAAATAAACTTTTTTGGTTGAGTAAGACGTGTGTGTGGAAAGTGTATGCATTTAGTTTATCCTCTAAACATTTACAGAAGTGATACAATAGGTTGTACAAAATAACCAGAAAAAGCCTGTAATAACTAGATACGAAAGTCATTTTTAATTCCTATCATCATTTAGAATTACTGATAATTTGCTCTATATTAATGTTTAAAAGTATTTTAATTAATTTTTATTTTCTCTGTATACTCAACCTCCTACAAATTTTTATAAAACTTTTTGCGACATAACGAGTATACTAATAATGATACTCTCTCAGCAAATTATACTGTACTAGAATTATTTATCGGGTAAAAAATTTATTACGATTTTGAATCGCAGATATTAAAATAAAACCTTTCTTATTATAATCCACGATGAAACTGACTACCTATTTCTCGGTAAACCGACACAAAAAGCCAATCGCACCCTTCACAGAAACTACCCCTCTGCTCTCCACTCCCTTCACGTCAAAGAAGTTGACGTGGCCGACTCGATGATGTAGTCACGAAATTCCCTAAATATTCTTCCTCCTCGCCCCCCTCTCCCCAACCCCGATGGTCTTGTGTAACGTCGAGGGTATAAAACGGGGGCGGGACATCGTCCCCAGGGAGTCTGTCTTTTCCCTATTCTCTTGTCTTGCCATAACAAACAACGCATCGTTCCCATTCGACGATCCTCACCATTTCTTCTATGCATCTTCAGGTATATCATACACAGTGAGCGAAGATTTAAATATACAATTATTGCGCAAGTTTGTTGATAGGTGACGAATTATGAATATTATTAAATCAAATATATTACAGCACCATAAATTACATTGTTAATATTAATAGGTACACGTTTCAATTTTTTTCTTTGTTGTATGGGAGGGATCGTACCTAGACATATATGCCTGTCTTGTGTAATCTTTACCATAAGACAAAAAAAACAAAAGAAAAAGAAGAACAGTTAGAAGTATAATATATTGTTTTAAAAATACAAAATGTTAAAAATATTAAAGACGATAGAACATCACCTTTTAAAAAATCACAGCTACGTTGAAACATTTGTTGTTTCGGAAGACCTCTAGACATTCTCAACATTTCAACATGTGCCAAAAAATCAAAAAACGAATTGTTACCATCATAGTATATACCCCATTTATGAACATCTATACTTGTACATGAAGGACAACTAACTTGTTCTGTAGATACAGTACTAGAGTTAAAACTAAAAGAATTGTTATTCATTTTTTCTGATAAATCAGCTTCTAACATGATTATTTTTGTTTTTATTGTGTTTTGAGCTGTAGCTTCCTTATCAGATCTACTTTTAAATTAGCTACCCTATTAGACAAGTGAACTAATCTAGAACTAATTCGTTTAAAAGCTGGATCAGATTTATTACCAGTAAAATTTTCTATTTCTGTATTGTCTTCTTTAATTGACAATTCCATATCTGTGATATCCTCTGTATTAATATAAGAATTATTTTTCTTTAAAAAACTCCTATTGTGTTACTCTTGAGGTAACAAACCACTCAAAACCTTTTTTTGTTTTGCAGTGGAAAGTAAGACTACCCCTCTGATTAAAATTTCATAGTTTAACTCACGAATTTTTAAATGTTTAGGAATTATTTTAATAAAGAGGATATCAGTCAGCAAAAAAGTGTAAAAAGCAATATATTTAACTAAATAAAGCCACAAATTTTATCACTAACAAAAAAAAATTTTTAATCGATAGGCACAAAAATCAACTTAAGTTTAAATCCATATACTATATACTTTTATCAGTGTAGAATGAATATTTAGAAACATATGTAAAAAGGTTGTAAGTAAAAATTTAGTGAAATTTACTTACATTATTTTTATAGATGGTTTTATGTTATTTTTTATGAACACTATTGTGCCATCACCTTTATTTATAAAAGAATTATTGCAATAGGGTGTATAATTTTGAATATAAAAGTTACTTACATGTTTCAGATAAAACTATAATGTCCAATGAATAAAACAGACATTTATTAAACAATCACATATATAAGTATTTAGATTTCCTTGCAGAATTAGTTCTAGATCAGTTTGCTAAAAAATGGCGCTGTATTCTTATCGGGCATTCGCTAGCTATGTCTGTGAATGGTTGAAGATAGTCATACATTTTAAATCGTTGATGATGTCTTCATCTTATAGCATACTTTAATACCAGAGAGGGAATACAAGATTGCATGGAACAAAGGTTAATACTAATAATAATTATAAAGTCTCGAATATACCCCAAGTTTATTCGCTTTTTATATTGTTTAAGGCGGAAGTTGAAAAGTGACGAAATCACAACTGAGAACCGTCACATATCTTGGAAACAACTTTTTTTTTAATACTGATAATCAGATTGGTTTAGTGTTAATAAAATTTACGATTTATTTGTAAATATAGACGAATATCTTGTGGAATGCTATTATTTTTTTAACGATCTTTCACAAAAACACACATTTTAAATTATATTTATTCTCAATAACTAAAAAATATAGTGACAATTAGTTTGGCAAAATTTTCACTTATTTAAAATTTAAAATAGTAGTCCTATTTTTCTAGAATGAATATTAAATTGTATATTCATCCAGTAGAATGTAATGGCCTTCTTCTAGGTTCTGTAGTCTGTGCTTAGAATATATGTATAATATCCATGTGGGTGTAGAATATTTAGTTGGCGGGCTACTAAACGTTTGGTGGAATTATTAATAATAATATTAATACTCTCCATAATTCACCCCCTTACAAGTGAATTTTAACCCCAAAATCTGTGCTTGTCCGGGGATGGGACGGCTGTTATTATTATTATTTGCGGTGGCGCTCCAGGGCGACTTAAAGATGATTAATGGTGCCATTTGACCTACACTATCTTCGCAATGATAACGCATGGCGATTTTTATAATCTGTATATTATCAACAGAAATTTCTGCTAATACCGCATCCATCAAATCATATAGAGAACCATGCAAATAAATTCACATGGTCTTCTGTAGGATTCAAAGCCCTCTCTGAACCACGAAATTGCTCGCAACATAATAGTCAATTGTTTTGAAAAACTCACAGTTAGCCCCGATTTTATCAGTGTTTTAATTGTGTCGTACATCATTTGGTGTTACTCGATGCCTTCTGCTTGTCTTTGCATCACCAATACCTTCATTATTGCTTCCAATAGTTTTTTGAACAAATTTCTCCTGCAAATGAGATCCTTGTCGACCCACGTTTAGACTGTTTGCAAGTGGAGTATATTGAACGACCTTTCTTTTTTAAATTGTTACTTTTGCTTCCAAGCATATTTGACATGAATATGCGTTTCTTTGTTCCACTTTCTTTTTAACAACCAATTTGTGTTTGGTTGTTATATATTGTTAATATTTAATATTTAGCGTTTCTATTTCCATTTGAACATTGTTTTTATTGCTAATTTTTCATAATCTTTTCTCACCTTGTTTTTATATTTCCCACATTAAATGTTATATGGTTAAACCAGAGATCTAGTGACTACCATAAAACAGCAGGTAATTTACT